ACTAAGTTGTCTTGGTAATGACCATATGCATGTAAGGGTATTTTAGTAAATTTTGGAATTTATATAATTTATATACAGATGATCTTAATTGTTGAGTGGTTAAGAAGATTTACCGACTTAAACTGATATTCATTTAAGAGTAGAAAATTCAATGCCTATGCATAAAATGAATTGCTTAAGGGTGAAATAGTCATTATTTATATATGAACTAGAAAGAATTAACTTTATATATGATTTGGCATCACTAACCAACAGAAATCTCTTTTGAAGATGACTACAATCCAACAAATCACATAGCAAAATTTGAAGTCATTTAATTGTTATGGACTTTACAATATTCACGTGCATTTTTAAGTTTAAATATGGGTGTGAGATGTGACATTTTAAAACTCTTAGGCTATCATTGAGGTGGCCCATTATTCTTGAAATCAGGAACACCCATATAAAGTATCTATATAGAAAGAGGCCTCTACTCATATTGAGTTAGAGGAAAGAAAGATGCATAATTATAGAGATATTCCATCTAATCTAGAGCAAGCTTCAATCTTCATCTTCCTTCAAAGAGTTTGCATCAAACTGCTGCAAATCTCAATTCTAGAAAACTTCATCAACCTGCAATTTCTCCAAACCAAAAAAACTCAACTAGACTTTTCTAGGTACATATCAAGAAGAATAAGGCCTTGAAAAGGTTTGTGCTGAACTCCTAAGAAAGGTACCTCACACAATGTGCAATTTAGAGTGTGTTTACTCTTAAGGCCGATCTAAAATCTTAATCTAGAGGAAATTAGTATTTATTAATCTCTATTGGCGATGTAGGGTCATGAATCAAGAAGGGAGTGAGTTTCTCTTATTTGGCCTCTTAGAATCAAAAATATGGAAGAGAGGAGTGGGTTCTCATCTAGTTTGGCTCTCTAGAGCCATGAATTTGGTAAATGATTCTTAGATGGAATCTTGAGTTGGCTGAAGCTGTTAAATTTAGCGTAAAATTATTGATGCCCATAATTCAATGTGTATTTCATTGAGATTTAGTGGAATATGAGGAAGTAATCTAGAATGTAAGTACTTTTTAAGTGGTGTAAGTTCAGTGACCAAGTCAATATAAAGTATTGTGTGCAATATCTCATTAGTAGCCTAAGTTCAAAACCTCAAGAGGAGCACTAAATTAGAATACATAAGAATTAAATAGAATTTTACCAATCACCCACCCATCTTGGTGATGTAATTTGATTTAGAGGTTAGTAGTTTTCACCCTGACTTGAAAATAACAAATAGCTTACATGCAAGTTTGAAAATTATTAAAAAAAATATTATTGAATACAACTTTTTTCATCATTTCTAGTCAAAATTCTATGCCAAAATAAGTCTGTTAATAGTCCATCACTAGATACAAGTGTCATGTGCAGTTGATGTATTCTTAAGAGCCAAGCTACCATCAAACTTTTAGTGGTTTGATAAACTAACACTATGAATCTAATTGTGTTGTGGCAAACTCATGCTTCTTGCGTCTAATAGGAGGTGAAGAACATGCAAGAGGAGACATTGGAAGAGTGAACGTAGGTTGAGAGCTAAACTATTATATATCATGATGCTTTCATTTTTTTTAAAATACAATAAATCCACATACTATCTAGAAGGAGTTACCCTATCATGGTTACAAACATTCAAGCCCAATGGGAGTACTCCATAGCATGTGAAAAAGATCAATTCACCTCCCTAATCCTACCAGGACTTAGTAGGGATCAATAGTTGTATGAGGGAAAATCAATAGTTTGGTATATTAGACCCTCCCAAACTTTGATGTTATTAGAATATAAAGTGGGAAAAAAACTAACCAAAGGCTATCAAAATTCAATTAGAAATTTTCACAATGATTATAAAAATAGACTTGTAAAATGTTAATAATTCTCATCTAATCTATGTTAGAATTGTATGACTAATTAAACCACCAAGAGGGGTAGTAAAAATATATTTTGGAGAAAGAAAGTGTGTCAACCCATTATTGTAAAAAAAGGTCTATGATGTGTAATCCCTATTAGAAAAAGTGACAAATGGTAAAAGATGTCTGACAAGGGTTACATATCTTTACATATTAGAAGATCAAAGTTTTCACATCATCAAATGTATATAAGACATTTTTTGACTGACACATATAATTCTCCCTACTCAAAAGTTGGTCAAATTGAAAATCAGAAACCAATCTGATGACATAGTTTGATTCCTAAAGACCCACATGTCAACCATAATAATTTTTGATTGATTATATCTTAAAGAATTGATCTTTGATATTTTAGATTTTCTACTATAAATAACCCCTTAAAGGAGTTATCTAACAACACAATTTGAGATCATTAAGTTTTTGTTTGAAGCTGAATGTCACAATTATAGAATAAGCCAAATACTAAAGTGAAGTATCATAGGATAACTCATTAAATCATAGTTGACTTATGAAATTGGTGCTCTAGAGATAAAAGTGAGTAAAAACAACTAAATAACTTGGGCAAATATATATTAATTAAACCTATTGTTAGGAAAACAAAGAATTACCTTGAGAAAAGGACTAGGATATAACCCAATCATTGAGATGACACAAGTAAAGAAATCAGAAGCAAGAAGAAAACCCAAATATAATTATCTCCTTTAAAATGAAATTAAGAAGACTCAATAAAAGAAATATTGACTATCAAACTAAAAATAGGAAATTATTCCTAGAAGATCTTTGGTGGACAAAATCAATGTTGTAGTTGCATGCTAGATGTTCAAAGGATGAAGGTGAAATCACATATGCTACAATATGTTTGCACACACACTATTAGGAAGTTATCCAAACTAGATTTAGTTGAACTTTTGAGACTATAAAATGTGTATAAATTGATTTGTGAAAGCAATATTAAGGAAAAAAACTAGAAAAAACCTTAAATGTAAAGATCACATCTCATCAAAACCTCTTGATCTATTGTACCATGATTTACTTTTTTCAGCCAAGGTTGCAAGCCTTGGACAAAAGTACTTTGGCTTTGTTGTTATTGATGAATTTCATAGATTAATTTGAGTGTATTTTCTAGGACACAAAATAAAACCTTTGAATATTTTAAATTTTTTAGCAAAAGAGTGAGGAATAAACTAGAATATCATATAAAAAATATTACAAGTGATCATAGAGGAAAATTTCAGAATGTAAGATTTATTGAATTTTTTAAAGAAAAAGGGGTTGTTTCCAAGCTTCTTTTATTCTAGAAAACGTCAACAAAATGTACTAGAAAGAAAAAGTATAACAATCATGGATATGAATTTAAGCTTCATATAATGTTCATTAATCTTGTGTAATTCATAAAAAAATAAAATTTTTGAATTTAGTTATTATGTTTGCTGTGTTGTATTTTTCTTTGAAATGCATTTCTAATGTATACACATGCTTATATCTATGAGATAAAATTGAGTCAAAAAACTATTTCAATGACCATGCATCGGATTTGTACTTGGCGATTGTAGTATGAGACCATTTCTCAATTTGATTCCCAAATAGCAGTTTACTTTGACTAGGATTCTTAATTTCACCACATGAATATCCCAAGAATATATGTGTTAGTTTCCACACTTGATTGGTAGTGAGCTGATTGGGATTATGTGTAGTTAAGTAAACATTTTGATTTTTCCTAATTAAAAATTCTAATTCTTTTTAAATAATGTATAAGAACCTAAAGCCCACTATACATTTTTTAAAGTTCTCTTCTCTATTTTTTATAAAAGTGACTTATTCACATGTGCAAACTTTTGATACACTATAACACTGCCTTATAGTACTATGGTGTTCCAATACTACGATTATGATTTCAATACCTTTTTTTAGTAATGATTTTTCGAATTCATCGTCATATGTTCCATGTTGAGTTTCTTAATAAAAGTGGTAAAACAAAATATGTTACCCAGGGAATGTGAAAATGTACTACTTGGCTATGGCATTGAGGAAGATCACAGTCTCAACTTAAAAGCAATTGTGGTCAACAGATGTTTATTTTACCTTAGACAATGGTGTAAGGAGACTTGCTAGTTTCATGGATCAAGCCAAGTTTTGACCCTTCACTAATCAGCAAAATGATTCATAGTATCTCAAATAGGAGTGGAGGAACAGTAGGGAGTATAAACATCATCAAAGCTGTGGGTTCTATACGTAATTACTTCAAAAAAATACACAAATATTTTAAACTTTATAATAAATATCATCATTTTTTGTTCATACTGATATACCATGTTTTCTCACTATTCTTATTAGGTAGTAATGGCTACTAATATCCAAGACTCATCTCCATTTTTTCCTCATCAGATATAGAAAAGAGAATTACTTTTACTGTCAAAGAAGTCTTTAGAAAATAGGCTACTGCAACTCTTACAATGAAAGAAATCCTCGCCTTTATACCAAAGAAACGTTTGTGTTTGCAACTTTTACAAGATACAATTTACTCATCCACTATTTTGTCAATTTATAGTTATATCCTAAACCCCAAAATTTTCAAAATGAATTTTATACTGTTGAACATATTATCACCCGCTATTCACTTAAAAGTCATAAACTTATCAAAGAAAATCAATGTCAAGAATAATGCTGAAGATTTTAACACAAGACTAGTGAGGAGAAAGTGATCAAGTATCCCAAAATGAAACCTTGTTGGCAGCCTGAAAAGACCAGCACATGAGATAGAACCAAGGATTCCTCTAATTCCTCCAGCATTGAATAAATGAGAAATAAGCACCTGAGCAAACTAAGCAATCTACAAGGGAAAAGTAAAGGAATAAAGCTATATTAACGAATATAGTACACATTTTCACAGAAGCCACTTCTTGTGGGAGGATTCCTTGCACCATCATCCTGCCTTACATACCTCGATTGCAACTAGCCTCTTTAATTAGTAGTCCATGAACCCATGGATTTGCCTCAATACATCTCATATTCCGGGCTTTACAAGGCCAAAATGAACAGGAGAGGATCACCAAAGGAAAACCATCTATACAGTTGAATCAGCTGGGTAACACCCGAGGACCCGAAGAAATGTAGCAAATTCCTGCACAAAGTAGTATAATAAGTTCTCATTCGATGGAGAACCCACACAAAAGAACCGATTTTATAGCGTTGGAAGAGAAAGCGATTAACTAAAACGTTTAGAAAGAGCATACTAATGAAAACATGATGTCTGGATGCCATGATCCATAAATTCCAATCTCCCAGCAGACAACAAGTCATCAGGATCAAGCCAGTATGCTCTGCATACAACCTGAGATCCCCTGAACCAGGCTATCTTTAGGGTTGGTTGCTCGCATCAGAATCTTACTGCAGTAATATACGAGTGAATCCAACCCAACCTAGGCATTATTGACGAGCATAATTTCTGGATGGCAGTGAGCACATCCATCAATATGGTGCAACTACAATACCACCAACAGTTCATTCATCAATTTTCAACTCAAGATTCATTCCAAACTGAAAAGAAAGTGCAACAAGTGGGTTACTCTGACTGCTACAATGCCTCCACAGCGCAATGATAATCAATTCAGTGAACTGCTTCTGAACACAGGCGAAATTATATTTAACATTCTTTTAGGCTAACCAGTACGTTTTTCTCAGATGAGAAATAAAAAAACTGCTCTGAATTGTCAACAGAATTTCTCTTCCTGGCTCAGTGATCATTTCCTCTTTTTACACGCATAAAGTAGCTTCACAAAACAATTAGGTACTTCAATGACACCACAGGCTTCCAAACACGGGGAGACCATGATCCCCTATCTCAGATTGCTTGTAATAATTAGATCTTTTGCCAGATATCTAAAATCTCGTGCTGAATAACTTGGACGAATTTTCTGTTCCATTTAGTGAATAATTCGCAACGAATATGAGGCTAACAAATTATTGTAAGATCAATAGATTTAAATTCTAAGCCAACAAAAACAAAGTTGCACCATCATTCCCAATCACAGGTAACATAATTGTAATAAGTAATTTTTTATGGTCACCACAAGAAAAATGAAAATAAAGCACCGTATGCTGATAATAGTAACCATGAGAACATGCAATCTACGAGGCGCATGATAAATAATGTTCGTAAACACTGAATCAAATCATTTTTGGCGTGAGAGGGAGACACTTCATTATTTCTAAAAGGAAAAGATGAGCAAAACAATCCGAACTCAACAGATATATTCAACATATACAAAGACCAGACCTGCAGGTGGCCTAAAGCATTCTGTGCGTGAGGCTCGGCCATTGATGCTTCGAAATCAATAAAAAATAGATAGTCAAAGTACCTACATTCGAATACAGTTCAATTACACTCATGTCTGAGAACCAAGTACATTGGAACATAACTTTGAACTCAAAAACTTAATCAAGCTAAAAAAACCGTTCGACTGGTTATTTCTATAAAGAAAAGAAATCAAGAATGGTGTATACTTGGCGATTCCATTATTAGAATCATCAACAACCCTTAGAGGCTTCTTTCTTTGAGGTCTGCTTTCAATCTGCAAATATGAAATCTGAGTGATCTAACGGCTAATCCAAATAGGACCGAAACAACACTATCAATCATTATCAGGATATACCTTTGTCAAATTAATGTTTCTCAAAGCAAATACAGAGAGCACTTTAAATAGTACTCCAGGCCCTTCTTCAAGAGTGAAAACAATGCTTGTCTGAAATGCAAAACGTGATTTCGAACATAGAATGTTAGACTGTATACTAGAAGAATAATTCGACAATTCTAGAAGTTTGACCTTGAAGCGTTTGTTTGTTTTTGGAATGATAGGTTCCCTTGCCAGTATGAGGAAACGCGTGATGTTGTCGTGGTCGTCCTGTCATGTATATGATTTGGCATAAACATCGCTAAACTAAATACATGAGCTTGAAAATTCATTTGTTACCATAAGAATATTTGATTCAAGAATCCTGACCATAAGAAAACAGAAGGGCATTGGACATAAAGAAGATTAAAAGAACCAAATTCACCTCTGACGATGATCCTACCCGAATCATCAGATCAGACATGAAGGTTCTGTGGCGAGCGAATAATGAGCTGAAAGAAAGACGGTCAATTTTTTGGTTTCTTAAAATATCAAATTTCTTTGTTTTGTGTTAACTAAATTTTCAGAAAGGAATCAATACAAATATCTCCTTTCATCAAAGAATAATGGATCGTTTTTAACAGACTAATTTCAATTCCTCCCTCGAAGAATGAGTATTTGCTGAAACAGACTGTTTTTCCATATATGTTTCCATGGGATAACTATAATGGATTTATAAAGCAACTGAATAAACAACCTTACAGCCTGAACTACTCAGATGTTTAGTCATCAATAAAATAAGTGCGAACATACAAATACATATATGTTTTACTTCACACTCATGTACACAAAGCAGATGAGAGAGCACCAAAGATTTCACTTTGGAAGGTACTCACAATTTTAGGGTTTCAAGTACTGCAAAAAATCTACATGAAGTCATAAACGCACAAAATTTTCACCGAAGGCAATTTTGAAAAATGCTAAAAAAGAATTGAGAAATGATACATCATTTTCGCCCAAGGAAAAAATATAACAGGTCATTCAATGCATTGAACTATATGCATGATAATGTACCACAGTCAGAAAGTACAACTCCCGATACTACATTGGCAGAGATAAAGGAGAACTAGAAAAATTGCATGCGGATGTGCTTGCCTGGATTCCTGATGCAAGTATATTAAGTCCATATATCTTAGCTGCAAGGGAACTTGCAACTGCTGCAGCATCTCTTAGGCCGTTCGATGCTATGAACTGAGACAAAATCTCAAGTTAGAATTAGTATCATCCTCCAACAGAAAGGTAAAGAAGAGTAAACAATTCAATCAGAAAACAGCAAGGACCAACCTGAGCCGCACCAGCAGTATCATCCACACTCTCTCTAATGACTCCCAAGGTGCTCAGTGTATGCTCACATTGAGAAAGAGCCTGAACCATAAAAATGTGATCACCAACAGCTGTATCATGCGTTTAGATTCAAAATAATAACTCACCTGTGGATGGCTCAAAACACGTTTCACTTCATCTTTTGTCACACCTGGCAGTGCCATAAGACAGTGGTTGACAGCTAATTGCACCTCACCCACAATGTGTAGTCTGTGCCGAAGAAGCAAGTCATAATTTCTATGAATGCTCCCACCTAAAGAATTCTCAATCGGAAGAACAGCCTTTTCAACGAGCCATAGTTCAACAGCCTGGTATGAACAGAAACATCTTAGAAGCAAAATTCTGTGAAGAGCACATTGTCACAAAGAATAGAAGGCATGAGATTGAACCTTAAATGCTGCTTCAAACTGCTCACATGGAACAGTTTCACACTGAGGATAGACCTTGAGGGCAGCAGCCTCGCTGAATGCACCGGGGAAACCCTACATTAGTTTTAATCAACTGATGTAAGATTAATGAGGGAGAAACTAAGAGAAATAATGATAAAAACTTATAGAGACTGATGAAGAATGAAAACCTGATATGCTACCCGCACTTTAGAATCATTGTCAGGAGAAGGGGAGAGATCAGCAAGTGACAAAGGTTCTGCAGACCATTTAAACCAGATTAAAAAAACTCGTCCATAACCTACTGCAAACTTATATGAATGATAGAAATCCGACGGCACTAAAAATGACATGAGCTTGAGATGAACCCGCACCTAATTCCGCACCACTTAGTACAATAACTATAAAAAAGAGCCAGGACCTCCTATGAAATACAAAAGAATTTTCCAAAAAAAAAGTTTAATCTGCTGCTGAAGCATATAAGGAAGAAACCGAGGCTGAAGTTGTACAGGCTTTCATTGCCTTTTCCTTTTCGAATAACAGATTATCTTGTTCTTTAATCAGTCAAGTAGGATATAGCCCCTTAGTAGCATTAAGAAATAATAACGACAGGGAATGAACATGCGCAGCACTTCTCAACCAAATTTATGAGAGATAGATGAAGGATCAATTCATGAAATTTGCCCGCTCAGATGAGCCAATAACTCAAGGACTAGTCAACTTTTTAAGCAAGGATCAGGCCCAATTGAATAAAATAAAGCAATTCATATTGACTGTGAAGAACAATTATTGACTGGAGTCAATAACAACTAGGCTCAAGAAAATGAATGAGGATCTTGTATCATCCTTTATTTTGGCTTGTAAATTAGATTCATTTTGTTCAGTATTTCACCACAATTTTTTTTTCTAATGATAAAATAGTATCCCATCGTCCACAACCAACTCAACTAGTGATTAACATAAAAAAGTATCTCAAATGGACCATAAGAGAGTCTTGTTCCGATTTTTAGTCAAAGGAATGGTAGTCAAAGCCTCACATTCCCAAAACAAGAAGAATGTAAAACTGTGCAACTTTTCAAGCACTACCAAAAGAACCATGGAGTAGAGGCAAAAGGGATCGCACTAAAACAAGAAGAATGGAAAAAATTTGCAACATCTGAGAAAAGTATGATTTTTTCAGAAGGTAAAAAAATGATCGTAGTGCTGGCTAAAGGGCCATATCTTTGATCCCAAATCCGAGCAATACACAGAAGAAGGATAGCAAAAGAAACTAACTTCTTTACCACAGTGTTGTGTCATGTGTTTATAAAAACAATAATCCCCATATCACTAAATTCTAAAGAGAGTATACATGTTACAGAGAATGAGCAGTTCTTGAACAACAAATAAATTACAGAGAATGAGGCAACATCATCGTAAATTATCCCTTAAGATGCACATGTGCCTCTTAAAAAATATCAGCTCAGGGACTAAAACTGCACATTGCATAAATTCTCGAATAAAAATCAGGAGATATAGGATGAAGAATTTTTTCACCCTGATAGAAATCGATACTTGCAGAATTTTTTAGCTTGCTGGTGTATTGTCTCTAGTCTTCAAGTTCAGATTGGGTACTTGGTTGGATCTGTAAAAGGAGTACTTCGAAGGGAACCAAAAGAAAGTTGAGGTAAGACAGCACAGAATTTGTCTCTCTGAAATGAATCCTCTTTCATATCTCCTCCTGAACTGGCCTATCCCCTGGTCTCCTACTTCTCCCCCCGACCCAAAAAATTCAAGAATAATTATACTCATCTTCTACTCCGTAGGAATACCTTGCAATGCAAAATATTGTCCGGCCTTAAAAGGTGCAGTGCATCGGATCTTCTCAGCCATCAACCCGAATCCAATCTGGTGACGCCAAAAGAAGGTATATATATCTGATCCATGGATTTATAGGTGTCAGCACAATTGGAAGTAACGGCTCCGTACATCAATTCATGGGTAGTCCCCTCCAAAAGAGAAAGCCAGCCCTTGATGAATACCCCATCAGTGATCTCCATTTTGAGCAACACTTCAGATAGCCATCCACGTTACAACATCCAGCGTCACAATTTACCACAACAGGCATACTACACGTCAGATGTACATTTTTTTTAAGCTCCACTTATTTTAGTGTTTTTTAGAAAGCATTCTAACATTATTTCTAAATCTGACAACATTTTTCCAAGGTGGTAAATATATATATTGAATGGAACACTCTAAATTACACGAAAACAATGTTTAGGGTCCCTTTACATCAAGATCTTTTCTAACGAATTAATCGTTCACAAAGGATACTGAAAGCCCAGTTATGATGATGATGATGATGATCCAAGCAAGAACAATGATCCCATGTTTTAGTAACTAAGAACTTGCGTAAGATTTATTTATTTTTTAATCCTTTTTTCCGACAAGTTCACACAGTACCAAGCTGGAAGCTTCAAACTAGCACCGGAGACAAGAACAAATGACTAAGATCCAAGACCGCATACACAGGCCCTATATATGGTCATGTTCCCCGAATTAACAAAATAAAAAAAAAGGAAGACGAACAAGAGAATCTCTTGTTCGTAAGTAATGGTTGGAACAGATGACGACAAGAGAATCTCTAGCAAGCATTCAGATTGGATATGAGCAACATAACTACGACAGACTATGCCCGCAAACAGTGCGACATTGGATCAATGCAGGACCCAGCATGCCACCTGCAGACTGTGGTGTCGTCCTCGGATTAGAAAGATCATCGGAAACGTCGGCGCTCTAATCGCATTATGGCAGAAGCAGATCATCGTATGCGAGAGAACTAACTTGGAAGAGAGCTAAGGTCCTGCAAACTCCTCGACTCCACGACCCGCGCCAATTCCACCGAGGATGTCGTCGACGAAGCTGGGGCCTCGTCCTCCACGGACTTCGCGCAGAGACGCCGCCCAGCGCCTCCAACGCGGTCATATCTCCACGCAACGATTCTCGGAGGTGTCCTTCCAAAATCACGGGGAAAAGCCGTAGAACACTCCGCCCGGTGGTCGCCCCAGCATCTCCCCGACGCCACAATCGCCCCCAGCGCCATCTCCACGAGAACTCCGGTGCTGAGACCCGGCCCTTTCCGGGCAGCAGGCGGCGCGGTAGGTGAGATATTTGCAGAATCATCCACGGAGCAGGTAGGTGGCGCCCCGGTGGGCCCCACTCTTTTCGGGTCGCTGGGCCAGCCAATTGACTACGCCGCTCTTGACCCGCTCTTAAAATCCCCGCCCGAACACGTAGATCAATCACCGATTAATCTACATTTCTCGACGGCCCGAATTATGCACACGGATTCCGTCTCCATCAGAAAACCCACATCTCTCAGGAGCCCGAAATCATAAACTGATTATCGAGAAAGAAATAATCCCACATCGAAAATTCGTAAACTAATTTTTATTTTTATTTTTTTTGCCATCACCTGTCCGCTTTCTTGATTATTGAGCAATATAATCTCTAGCCAGTGAAACTGGAAGCATCAACTCATCTGGCAGATTTATTCAAGGAATCCGAGTGACAGGGTGGGTACGGATGGCCCAACGAAGAGTTACTGAGACTGCCGAGAAGAAGGCTCGAGAGAGTTGAGGGCGTCCGCTAGACCAGCTCCAGCTCCTTGAGGAAATCGGTGTTGTCAACCAAGACCTGTAAGAATATGCACAGGGGGGATGAGCTCCGAACAATTTCGAGCAGCCTTTGCAATATAATTATAGAAGGAATATAACCTTGCCCTCCTATCATCTCTGCTGATAGAATGGAAGGGGAGAGAAAGACATGTGTAAGGCCAGAGTGGGTTTCCCAGAAATATGAGATAGAGAGAGAGAGAGAGAGAGAGAGAGAGAGAGAGAGAGAGAGACCCTCTCCCTACTCCCCCCCCCCTCTTGCTTATGCCTTGCTATTATTAGATTGTAATGGAGTGCCTCCCAACACCTTTCTGGGAAGAAAAGGGGGAGCATGTGGGAGCTTATATGATATAATCTGTGGCTAAAGCTAAGGATAGAAAGATAGCAAGATCCAAATCGGTGCGAGTATAGTGATGAGAGAGGAGGACTGACCACTTTCCAGCCATCTGGGTCGAGGAAAGACGTGATCTTGGTGTTGATTCCTGGAATCGGTCCGGGCTGCCGGGTGATCTTCCCTCCCAGCTCTTGGGTGACAAGCTTGACAGCCTCGGCACTTTTATAAACGTCTTCAGTGCTGATAGCGACCTAGAAGTGGAAAAAGAGTGCACAATATAAAATGAAAACACGAGGGACGAGGACGAAGTAAGCGTGGCGAGAGGAGCTATCTAACCTGTGCGTATGCATTTCCCTTGGTATACTCAGTGACGTCATAGTTATAAGTCAACTCCAGGACGGTCGTGTCGTGTTCATCAGCGTAGCCCAGCATGGCGATCGTGTACTGCATGATACCGTGAACTCGTGATAAGTAAGGCCGAGCATACATCCATCACAGAGAATAGACAAGAAACTAATCATGATGATTGAATAAAAAAAAGGGGAATTGACCTTATGAGCAGGCCGGTCAACCTTCCTCAATAACTTCATACCGCAAGCCTGCAAACAATCCAACAAAAACATATTTGACGCGGGGCCTCATACCCAGAAAATCAAGAAAAAAATTGCCAAAACGACAAGGCAGAAGAATACATATTACATACACATTGGCGACTTTTGAGTAACAATGCCCATACCACTACCAGATAAAATCACCCAGTAGCCCAGGCAAATAACTATGAATCTACACAGAAAACGCCGATTAATGAGGCTTATCAACATGACTGGGGCTGATTTTTGTGCCATGTCAACTGAACAGATGGTATGTGAAGTGGATATCACAGACTCTGGCAGTAAGAAATTAAGATATATAAGATGAGTAATTCATATCATGCCAGGAGAGAAATTTCAAAAGTCTTTTCAAGCAATTAAAAGCAACTAGGGAAAATATGGTGATTAATTCCAATCCATAGGCACAGTACCTTCTCATAAAACTTGATAGACCTGTCAAGGTCACCCACACGAAGCATAACCTGGCATAGAGGTTCAGGTGTGGGACCTCTTTGGATGATCTCAAACAGGTAACCATCAGGATCCTGAACAAAGGCAATTACACTGGTCCCTCCTTTCACTGGACCAGGTTCACGTGTTATTTTCCCGCCCTTCTCCCTGACGTTCTCGACGAACTTGTAAGCCTTGAGCCCAAACCATGTTTAACGATGAAACGTCAAAACCCGATTTAAAAATAGATAAAAATAACTATCAGATCTTGACGGGAGAAAAACTGACATCTTCAGTGGCGATAGCAAAATGTCCAAAGCCTGTGCCAATATCATATTTATCCACACCGTAATCTGTTAAATATAGCTGAGTGTGAGTAAAACTGTTTGAAAACAGATCCATTCGAATTACGCTTAAAAAAATAGTTCCTGAAGAAAATACAGATTCATGATTATAGAAAAAATTAACTAACAGACACTATGTTTGCATACAGGATTCATTACAAGTACGTAATTTCACTTTAATTAGATGACCAAATCTCAAATCTGGGATATATTCCCTATTAATAGGAAGATGCTGTATCACAACATCCATATTTATGCAAGCGAGAGACATACTGAACGATGCAAAGACTAAAATGGCGACTATGAAAACCAAAATAAGCTTCCCGTTTTCCAACTGTGATAAGAAATGAACTCTCACTAGATATAGTCTGATTGCTTTGAAGCGTAACCTGCAGAACGACGATCGATAGGTATGGCTACAGGTCTTAAATTCATAATATCTTGAAGAGATTTAGGTACAACAATCATTAATTGCCAACTTGGATATAATATGGCTTCTAATGTGTCCCAAGAAAAAGCCTCAGAGAGGCTAACAGAATCCCAGCAGGTGTAATTAACAGACTATCAAAGGCAATAATACAGAACTATGCCAATAATATAATAATGATTGCTGAGTGAACCCGACATAATGACAAGACATGGAAAAGTTTCCGTTTTTCCTTACTCAACCCAACAAAGCAGTTCAGGCTTTCAGGCTCAGCAGAACTGATCTCAATTTACATGCCAAACAAAGAAAAAATAGTATGTGGATCTTGATTCCCAGAACTTCCCGGTTCACCCTCTAGTTCCAGTATTTAAGCATTCGTTGACATGTATCAACGAAAAAATTAGTTACTACGGTTAATGTAAACATTCGTTTCTTTCCAGCTCGCTACCCCAAGCAAAATTTCACAAACAAGACATGATACATGCCATTACTTTTCCAAGCAGTCTTAATTGCCTAGTATTCTACATCAAATAGTACCATAAGATGAACTTTTTTATCTATAAAAGATAATAATAATTATGATTGCTTCCGGATTTTGCATCATAGAAGCAGATTAATCACTTATTTTTTCCCTAGACAAGATATGTCCTATTTACAAGATGGAACCCCGGTTGATACTGTCTTCAACCCTTAAGGAGTACCTCACGAATGAATGGGGGACATATTTGAATGTTCACGTGGCTTAAGGGAAGATCTTTTAAACAGACATTCTAGAATAGCCACTTTTGATGAGAGATACGAGCAAGAGGCTTCAAGAAAACTAGTTTTTCAGAATTATATGGAACACAATTCAATAATTCAATAAATAAATATAAATTAATTTTCAGCCAATAAAATGCGGAGATATAAACACAATTCGAAGTCAGCAGAGAGGAATAGACGTACTGTAGGTCAACTCAACCACAAAATGAGAATCTTCAGGCCCAAACCCAAGAAACGCATTTGAATATTTTTCTTCTGGAATATCCCTTTTCCTGAGTAGATTCATCCCAAAGCATTCCGTATAGAACCTAAAAAACCGAATATTCATGAATTAACCATGTTATGACGTTATCAATGATGCATAACTTCAAATAACGTTCAAAAATGTATTCACAAGTGAAGCATACTTTATTGTGCGATCTAGATCTCCAACTCGATAAACAGCATGTAGGAGACGCTTTTTATCTTTAAGTGACCATTCTAACACCTTGTCTGAACTCAGTGGTTCAGCTTCCGATGCTGATGCTGATGACATCTTTGACTGCAACTGATTTATGTAATAATCACACATAAATTCATGTCGAAAGGAATATATTGAAAACTCTTTAGAAAATATTTCATCAGATATCAGATAGACGTTACATTCAAAGTTGACACCAATGATGTATCATCACTGGATATCAGCATAAAAGCATGCATCGAATAAACAAGTGGTGAAAAAATCAAAGCGAAATTGCAATCCTACTGACAATATAACAGTCCACAAATTGACTGACCTATTAGAATATTGCAAATTGCGAAATGTTTCCAATACACATAAAGAGATTACGACCTTTCAACATAGTGTCAAAGATACCAGGGTAGATCGAACTAAGAATTCAATCTCCTCAGCTAACAGAAGTTTGTAAACGTTATTTTCCATCAAAAAAGTGGCAATTGATGTGCTCTGATGCTGAATGGGTGTTAGATGGAAATTTTCCAACTGCCTTCTGATATAGCAAATCACAATCGAACAAAGCTATATGAAAGGACTGATAATAGTCATGATAATTTATGAATATATCTCTGTATATACATACACGCACAATATAGATGAACACAATTGGTTAGATTCATTGAAGAAAATATGCAATGGTAAAACTAATATGGGCTGCTCGTTACAGTGTATCAATGTTCTATGCAGCAACATTCTGGTTTGAATGTAAATCTCAGCCAATGACGAAGGGTATTCGCTCATACTCCCTCTAAGTAAAACAAACACTTGGGATAAGCTTCTAAAATCGTTGTCTGCTAAAAAAAAAACCACTTGCCTAAATGTCACCTCTGAATCAAATGTATAGATTAAATTGGTAAAATAAACATATAAGAATAAAATTAGGCGCAGATATAATTTTCGACCAGAAATGTAGAACAGAAGAATTTATCCACAGAAATAAAAATAGAATTAAAAAAATCAACATGCAGCTAAAATTCGGGGAAATTTTGCTTAGATCTGAATTAGATGAAAAAATATTCATGATAAAGGTAGGAAGGCGGAAAGGATTAAGTAAAAGATCAAGCCATGCAATGAAAGCCAACAACTCAAAAACAGCACCAGAAGGAGAGGAGAAATTAAAGACTAATATTTAGACAAATGTGTCTCTATAGTACATACGATGGAACCTAGGCAAAACTACCGATGGTTCAAGAAAAGCATGGGGAAGAACTGATATTAACTCCCAGAACTGATCCGATTGACAAAAGACAAAAGACTGGGTCTGTAAACAGAGATCAAGAAGATATGGAATGGACACAGAAAGGGAAGAGCCCACTGTCCTGTACTAGTCATTATCCTGAAAAGCCTGAACAACACTGACATAGGCAAGCTTGCGGCATGTAACAAGGAATTCTCAAAACCAAAGCCTAGCCAACCCATGGATAAGATTTGATGACGACGGTGAAGATCACACTGAAGATAATGTTCACATGAAATCCCACTATCGTAAGTAGGCAGCACAAATAAAAAATCAGAAAACGTCCGACCTGATAGCCAATCATAAGAAGAAGACAAATGTCGTGATCACAGAACACTTTCCCCAGTGGGGAACCGACGAAAACTATTCGGTCTCCCAAAATCAAGGAGACTGAGTCTAACTTGAGAAATCGAGGTAACTGGGTCTGACTTCAAATAACACTTACAAAATCCAACCAGAAGAAGCAGCAGAAACAACAGAAATCAGAAAGCACCCACCCGAATCGTAAACCAAAGGACCAACAAACATCATGCGATCGCAACACAACGAGAGAGCAAGATCAATGAAAGATAGGAAACCTAGATCGCCGCGACGCTGACGTCCCCACTCCGGAAGGTGGAACCCGGACTGACGCTGGTCTCCCAACAACCACCCCTCCTCCCTCTTACGGCCGCGTCCCAACTCCAGGACGAGCGGAGACCACGGCAGCGAGATCTTCTGTGCCTGGAGATCTTCACCGTCTGCCTCGTGGTCCCCAATAATGAATGTGGCCCCATGATCCGCTAGATTCATCAGCGTCGTAAGAAATGACTGTTTCACCCTCGGGTTTGGGACCCGTTGATACCGGCCCATAAGGGGCCGGACTTTGTGCTTATTAGGTGAGAGAAATTTACATAATGAACAACTAGACTCAGTGACCCCAGTAAATGTGACCGGATCCCGACAAGGCTTGTGAATTCCAGTCGGCCCCTCCACTGACAGCTGTCAGCCAGCTCCGGCTAGCTATTTCATGCACGTGTTGTCATAGGCTATATATTTACACAGGTTGTCACGTGAGTTGTTGAATGTATTATGCCAACTGAGCATAAATACGCAATAAATACACATATATTGATAGAATTATGTTTAATAGACTAGCACATCAATGGTACATAATCTACAGTATGTGCATCACCACTACTAAGAATGAGGTGTGAGATGAGGCAGGTGGTATGGTTTATTGAATGCAATGAACCTACATAATAAACTATCATAAGCCTTTTGTATACTAACACATATATGTTGAGAAAAGCGCTCACTCTCATGTAAATTTAATCTTATATGTGTCCATCATTCTTATCATGTAAGCACTAAAATATTTAAAAATTGGACATACATTGATAAGTTTTTATATGCTAATTAGATGCAATTTTCTGTGTTATCTGCAGTTTATATTGGGCATTTTAAGGTATATGCATGTAATATAATATGTAGGCATTTTAAAGTATTATTTTTGACCTAACTCATCTTATACTTCATTATTAAATTGAAAACTAGTTAAAATTTTATCTAGTTGACATATGAAATGAATAAATGTTGTCATGTTCAAAGGGAAATAAACTAAATTTTTTAACTGAGGCTTGCATATCCTTGTTAATCTTAACCAATCTATTGGGTTTTGAGTTCTCAGCAAGTTGATCTATTCAAAATTGAGTAGGGTTTAACTATAAATAGCTTATATGCAGTTATTGTTGGCTTTGGGAGCCTAAAAAGCTTCAATTATAAAGTAAATTAATAGAAGAGTAGAATGGTTTTCAATCTTCAAATGCCAAAACTAAATCTCTAAATGATTTTAAATAATTTTAATTGTAAATAAGCCTTAAAATAAAAAATTGATCCCATGGGCAAAATGGTCTATATAAGATCTCAAATGATCCAAGGTCAATGCAATAAGTGATGCATCAAAATTTGAGGATTTTAAATGTTTATTAAATTTAAAAGAGTAGAAAATATTTAGATGTAGATACAAAAATTGTTAAATTTAATGATTTTGATGTTAACAAGTTGTTCACATAAATCTGGTATAAAAAATTACTGTAAAATGTGTTGAAATATACTAATCTAAAAATCAAGATCATAATCTTTAGATCTAGTTTTGTTATTATTGAAATATATTTTTGAAGCCTAAAATGATGAAAATAAAAACCATATGGTTATCAAAGTCAAGTCAAATCAAAATAAAACAAATCATTTTACATAAAAACTAAAGGAGAAAAATATGGTCACTTAGTTTATTGACCTACTTGATGTGTGTTGACCAACATTAGGAGAAAGAAGTCTGTAGACCCACGAAGTAGGTGTTGTTTGAAGCAAATGATGTTCCATCATCAAACAGCTCAAAAGACATGTATAAAGAACAAATGCAAGTGACACATGACAACCAATGAACACAAGATCAGTCTAGAAAGCACCCAAATTAAGATGACATGTGGCATTACTTAATAATATAGTGACACATGGTAGAAATTTGACAACACATTCTCATGTGCTGAAAGCTAGACAAAGAAAGTGGTCACCATGACATGTGGTATAGTGTCATGTGGTGAACTCTGACTACATTGGATGAAATGCAATAAAAGATGAACAAAAATATTTGACATGTTGCAAACATTCATCATCACATCTGATATGTGGCAAGATTTTTGACAACACTATGAATCTTCTTTGAAGGAACATTTATGACTTGAACAATAAGATTGACACGTGACAAAACATCTATAGTAAGCTAACCAACATTTGGCAGACATGTTTAATGAGTATAGCATATCTTGATGCATCAAAAGGTCAATGACACATGAGAGGATCCTTCAAGCTATATTTTCGAGTGAGAACATTGGGATTGGGCATCAAAATTGCTGTAGAGGGTAGTGTGTCCACCTACATCAAAACTTTGTCAACCCATAGATCATATGACCATTGTGCCTATCCAGACAAAAATTCTCTCAACCCACTTTCATAGTAATTCGTAAAATTAGTTTAAAAGTTTTAAAATGAGAAAAATCTGTAGAATTTCAATTAATCTGCCTTTTGATATACGTGCTAGCCTATTAATTACTCCCACAAAAACTATTAAAAAAATTTATGATCATAAGAAATTATCATTATATGCATAATGTGCAGCATCAAGGATAATCATTCATCCGAGATTATAGTTGAGTGAAAAAGAAAAAACAACTAGGCAGAATTACAATACTCATGTTCACTTTTTGGAAAGTTCACATAGAAAACTTGTTTGTTAGATTTTAGGCCATGCTTAGATCAAGAAGTGGGAGTTAAATATATTGGAACATAGTTTTTACTTTTGGCCAACTATTGTAATTTTCATGATCTCTTATCTTTGGTCCTGAATTCCTTTGGATTTCCTGGATCTAAATCTAGATTATTGAAAAAATCATAGGTATAATTTGCTCTTAAATTATACTAAGCCAGTTCTGTAGCAAACTATAGATTTCGCATTGAATTCCTAGTGTAGCCTATGATGTTACATAAAAATGAAATCACACCCTTCAATCCAAAAAAAATGAGATTTATGTGAGGATTCCTTGCCCTGAATCTACATAATTTAGAAGCTTCAATCTTTGAATCCATAAGAGGAAAATCTGAAGTCCACAAGATCAATATAATTCTTCTAAATCCATAGATAATGCATCATAGTCTACTAACAGTGAGATAATATGTCCCAGAAGGGATAAATTCATGAAATATAATGAATACTTTAGAGTGACAACATAGTTTTAATCTATTAGGTTTCCCCCATAAACTA